TGCCCAACAAAAATGATTCATCTCGTTGATTCTTCAAGTGAACTGCGTGAAAAGCCGTCGGCATTATTGTATATAGCGAATTTTTTTTATTTTTCCTAAGCTTTCTTATTATTAGTAGACGTGACACCCACGCATCGATATGTTGTTTTACAAAAAATACATATATTAGTGAATTACATTAATTTTTAAACAAATTAATCAAAATCATATATAAGACAAATATAAGACTTACCTCCCCATCCAAATAGCCACTGTCTTCAACCCCTAATAGCACACCCCACCAAGACCGATCAAGCAACAAAAACATTTCATCGTTGAGTTTGCTGATGTCAGTGTAACACCCTTGGCTCCGCTCATGTAGATAAAAATCAACTGCGGTCTTAGCCCAAAGGGTATTATCCACAATTGTTTCCGGTAGTTGTCTCCTCTCCACTTCAGATACCAGAAGGGTACTAGCCGGTAACTCATACGAGAGCCAACTCTCATCCATTATGTCCGGAACCGGTGGGGGTTTCTCAATACTTCGATATATTACCCCATGTGAATCGGGCTCTGGAATGGTGGGAGGGACCTCTTCAACGATGACAGTGGCCTCTTGAACGGTGGGGGGGAATCTTGAGGGAGAATAGGGGCATCTTGAACGATTGGAGGGGACTCTTGAGGGATTACCGGTGAGTCGGGCTTCTTCTTGCGGAGTCTTCGCACCATTGGGGTGAACGGAGACGTAATAGCACGTCCACGCCGTCTGATGCGTGAACTCCGTCGTGCAAGGAAAACCCGACGTAAAGCATCCACCTTATCGGGCCGCTAAAAAAATTAATACATAAATCAGTAAATAAACAGACATGATATTAAACAAAGACAAATATGTTTCAAACTAGCATTGTATTCACCCAAGTCATTATTCTATCATAGTTCACAAAATGCTCAGATAACATTCCAGAAGTAAGCACTTATATAAACATTTAAAAGGACAACATATATAAACATTCCAGAAGAAGAATAGTTTACTTTTGCAACACGAAACTTAAAATCGCAACGCGAAAATGACTATCGCAACGCGGAAATGGCTATCGCAATGCGAAATGAAAATCGCAACGACAAAATCGCAACGACAAAATCGCAACGCGAAACACAAATCGCATTGCGATTTTGTCGTTGCGATTTCATTTCGCATTGCGATTTTGTCGTTGCGATTTTCATTTCGCATTGCGATAGCCATTTCCGCGTTGCAATAGTCATTTTCGTGTTGCGAAAGTAAACTATTCTTCTTTTGCAAATTGAAACTTGAATGGATTGCATTACTTCAACTAAAAGACAAAAACAAAACCAAAAACAAATACTAACAAAAACAGTTTAGCAGTATTGGCAGCAACCGAATGAATTACGAGTATGAAAAATCTTAAACTTACCTCGTTGCGTAGAGTATGAACCTCATTCTGCAACGATGCTACCATCTCACGTAGAGCGGCTACCTCACCGCGTAATGTAGACACCTCAACACGCCATGCACCATCGTCTTTGCGTAAAATACCGACCTCCTCACGCAAGGCATTGACCTCATCACGTAACTCCCCTAACTCATCCCGTTGAGGTGGAGGTGGAGAACAGGGAGATAAACGTCGTGGCATCTTTGTCGGTCGCCTATCTTGCGGTGATGGTGGAGAAGAGGCTCGATGATGTGACAGAATAGGTGATGGTTGTCGTTGTGGAGGTGTATAGCCGGGTCGATCAGATGATGGCTCTGGGTGAGGTGATAGCTCTGGGCGAGGTGATGGCTCCCGAAGTGGAGGCTGCTCATCAACCGTTCCATCAAAAAAACGCTTACTAGCTTGCCACAAATCAGTGGCAAGCTCAGTTTCCGTGGGTGTCAGCCTCTGTAGAGGAGTGTTGGCCTCCTAACAATATAAAAGCTCAAACAAAGTTAAACGTGTACTAGTAATAACTTGTTTATAAACATATGGTAGTATTTATGTTAACTTACATTATTTATTGTCGTATACCGTAGTAAATCTTCCCATTGCAAGGTTCGTTTCCTCTTCCAGGAAATAGCCCTGGGAATATTATTTGAAGTTTTTATTGTATATGTCTTCATGGCGAGAAAGGCCTCAAATATCCAAATCTACAAACAATATAATAACAAACATTAGTAATTGTTAAATAATTACATATAATTTTGGAAACATTATATAAAAATTCTTACCTTAAAGGCCCAAATAAAGCCTGTCAAAGTGTATTTGGAACCATCGCCATGCAAACTTTTTCGATCATACAAGGCAGACGATAACTTATTCCATGTAGCTTTCCATAAATACGAGCCCCACGGAAACAGGTTCCACGCATTTAGGTCTTCTACCAATTTGATTAGATCATTTGGAATAGGTTGTCTGGCCTCTCTGCCTAAAAAGCCGGCATGCAAAAGAATTAGAAGGCATACTCGGACAACGTCGACGTCATCCATCCGAGTAAAACCATCTTTCTTATTCAATAATATCGTCAGGTCTTCCACGTGTAGATTCGGCCTCTCCAGCTCAGGAAAAACCCGGGATAACCATGATGGGCGGGTAATGTGTCTAGTGTACCGACCTACATCATCGTGTCCGAAGCGTAGACCGGTGATTAAGCAAAACTCCTCCCGCCCAAAACAAGTATACGCCGGTGGAAAATCAAACCATATCTCTTCATCACGACGTTGTATAGTATCTGGTAGATCCCTAGTCATGGTTTGAAGAAATAGGTGTGTCAACATCGCATCTCCATCGGGATGTTGTACTTTCAGCCATGGCCCGAAGCAAGTATCCTCAAACATATTTCTTTGTGCAGGTGAAAGCTTCGACGCAATTGTTTTGGCCAGGCTGACTTTATTTCTTAAGGTTAATTGAGCCGAATAAAAGTTCTACAAAAACAATAAACATACTAAGTTAGATATACCAAAAACTACACTGTGAAGATATACCAAAAACAATAATAAACATAAAGAGTAGTAGTTTATTCTTCAAACTTAAATTTGCAACACTGTGAATTTCTTATTTGTCTTTGTTTTTTGCTTGAAGTAATGCAATTCATTTAAGTTTCAATTTGCAGAAGAAGAATAGTTTCTGAAAATGAAAATCGCAACACGAAAATGACTATCGCAACGAGAGAATCGCAACGCGAAACTAAAATCGCGTTGCGATTCTCGGTTGATTTAATAAGCAATCTAAGTGAAATGGTTAATCTATTATTGAAATTACCAGTAAACTTATCATCAATTTCAATATGAAAAACCTAATCATAATGCAAAAATTTCAAAGAGAAAATAATTAAAAAAACTAACCCTCGTTGGTTGATTTGGTTGATTTTTCATTTCTGATTGTGAGGGTGGCTCTGAGAGATGGAGATAGACGGATTTCGCCGGAGATGGGGACGGATTTCGTCGGAGATGGGTGAGAGAGTGAGAGATGGAGATGGGACTGAGTTGTGATTTTAGGTTTTAGGTTATGAGTTGCGATTACGGGATATACTGTGGACGGTTCAGTGTTCCAATATATTAATATTCGTGTTTGGAATTTAAAAATAAAATACTTGGCCAGGATACTAATGGCGCTTTGAAAATCGCATTGCGATTATGTATTATCGCGTTGCGAAAGTCAGAATTGCGTTGCGAAAGTCAGTATCGCGTTGCGAAAGTAAGTATCTCGTTGCGATTTTGTATTATCGCATTGCGATAGTCAGTATCGCATTGCGATTTTCCCAATTCGCGTTGCGATTTACTTATTCGCATTGCGATTTTCCCAATTCGCGTTGCGATTTACTTATTCGCATTGCGAATTGGGAAAATCGCAACGACACTGTAGACCATCGCAACGCGATTTTCAACTATCGCATTGCGAAAATACAACGCGAATTTGCGATAATGGAGATCGCGTTGCGAATTAGCGATCGCATTGCGATTTTGTTGGTTATTTTGGCAAATCCGGAAAAAGTTGGTTAAAATCGTATATTATATGGGATTTTTGGTCACTGAGGTTATTTTCTCTTATACTTATACGTATGTGTAGAATAATTTGATTAAATCATTATTTTTCTTCTGGATATATATAGGGTCTTCGGCTCTTTAACCTGGACATTATCCGGGAGAATGGAACCAGGGATCATTTTTATGTGATTGACATAAACCAGGGTTTCAAAAAACGGTCCGCGACCGCAATTTCGGCCGCGATATAGTGGTTTCGCCGCCGTCCGAGTTACCCGGGACGGCCGTAATAGCGTCCAATAGCGCCAGCGACGGCCGCAATCACGGTAAATCCAAAATAACCGAAAACGCGACCGCGATTTGAAACCCTGACATAAATTACTTTCCTGGCAAGTGAAACTTGTACCTTTATAGCATGCTATCATCATTCTCTGTTGGAACTTTGAAGCACCTTGCAGACAACTGACATGCTCTGAATCGTTTGTGAAAATATTGCAGGGTATGGGAAAATGCCTGGGTATGAACATATATTTACAGATTTTCTCTTGAGGCTGCTAGTGCAGAGTCGATACAAGAAAAGATCGAGCTAGAAACTTTCTGAAAGCCTGGGACACTTCAAAGCATAAGATGGTGGTGTTAATAACATGTGCAAGTGCAAGGTATGATGTGTCTTGCGGTTGTTACTTTACCCCCCCCCCCTCCCCCAAAAAAAAATATCATCGTGTAATCCCTGATAGCAGCTGGAGGAGGTGGGTGCCATATCAAAGCAGATGTTTATTGTCAAATTTCCATTCAAAATTAACAAATAACTTGATGTTCTGAATATGTTTAGCTATTTTCATTTTAGATGTTTATTGTCAAATTTGCATTTATATCATCATATAGTTTTTTTTAATATTTGAACCTAATTTCGAATTACAAAGACGAAATGTATGTAAGAAAAATTGATCTTGATTTAAGTTTTAATGTTAACAAGAAATTGTCTCCTTCTGACAAATGTGTGTTTCTACAGTAATATTACCTACCCTGGTTGAAAAAGGGGGTAATGAAAACGCATAATTTTGAAAAATAACCGAAACTAAATTGAAGGGCAAATCCACCTCGAAATCAAGGTCCAAAGACATACATAGATGTTCATCAGAGTACATTTCAAAAACCCAGAGAAGCAATAGATGAAGAAGAAACTACCCAGTTGAAGCAGGTGCCTCTAGAGCAGAAGCAGCGAGAGCAGCCTCAGCAACCTGGGCATTATCATTGTCGACGCCGCTTGAAACAAGGGTCCAATCAGGAGGGAGCGGAGGTAAAGGAGCGTAAACTGTGGGTTTCCTCCTTACGTCCCATTGCTGCGTCTTGCGTGGCCTCGTCTTCATATGATGCTTGGTTGCCTTCTTCTGCGGCCTCGATGAACATTCTATCAACAACCCACAGCTGGAGATTGTTAGAGAAGGGTGATTACGTGCCTTAATTGAAGGAACGGATGAGATGGAATTGGGAACGAAGGTGATTTGGGGAGCACAAATTATGGAAACTACTGGCATTCCCATGTTTTTCTATTCTTCTTTGGTTCAACACAAGAGAACAGCGTGACATCAAATGAGTGTCTCCGGACCTTAGCTTTTAAGATAACGTGTGCGTTATCCTCTGCAACTCTTGCTTATTACATCACATAGAGTAAATTTCAATTAATTTGGGCCTATTTTCCTACTATGGGTTTGGGTCAACCCATTCAATATCTGTGCCTCTACGTCACGATTCACGACATGCCGAGTTCTAAGCCTTCCTCACTCGGCCAAAAAAAAAAAAAACGTTGGCACTGACCCACGTACCCACAGACAGAAAGCACGCAAAATCCTTCATCTCAGTGAAAATCAGTAATCAGACTGTAATTCATTGGAATAAAAATGGAACCTCTCCACTATAATAAAAAACCCCCAAATCCCTCCATCCATCGGATACCGCCAGCTCCTTCCTTCCGAATCCAGTCCCCACCCACTTTGAACTCGACCCATTTCTCATTCATCCCCTACCTCCCATACCTCTTCCCAAATACATCCGTTTCCGTCTAATGTACAAAAATGTTTATAGGGTCACATTTTTTTGCTTACAACCCGTTTTCCGATATGACTTCCACTCACATGTATACTGCTATATATATGCAAGACTCAGAGGGTTTTTTGAATAAAAAGGGCTAGTGCCAAAACCAGAAACATAGAAAAACCCCATGGATCCTTGCCCTTTCGTACGACTTACCGTCGGCAATCTAGCCTTGAAAATTCCGGTTGCTTCGAGACCTGCTCTGTCCGTTGTTCATCCTTCTTCATCTCTATGTTTTTGTAAGATTAAGCTTAAGAATTTCCTCTTACAGACCGCCGTTGTTCCCTGCATGCCTCCTGAGAATCAGTTTACCGACAAACAGCTACAGACCTTAGCCGCTACATTCCACCTCAGTAAAACCGATATCGACAAACTCGCAGAGAAATCCATCTTTTCCGCCAAGCCTTGTCTCAAGATCGCTATCCACACCGGCCGGAGAGGCACAACTTGTGGGATTAACTCAGGCCGTCTGATGGGAAAAATGTCGGTGCCGTTGGATCTGGCGGGAGGGATTGTGTTTTCCTCAATGGCTGGATTTCAGTCGGGAAAGAAGCTAATAAAGGTACTTCTGCCCAGTTTCACTTGAATTTTAAAGCAGAACCCGACCCCAGATTTGTTTTCCAGTTCGACGGTGAACCGGAATGTAGCCCTCAAGTGTTTCAGATCCAAGGAAATATCCGGCAGCCCGTTTTCACTGGCAAATTCAGTTTTAGGAACACCGGTGACCGGAATCAAAGATCCAGGTTAGTTATATAACCCCCATTAATGATTCAATTTTCATGCTCTTATGCCAAGTTGGTTAATTTGAACACAAAATAGTGCGGTAAAGCAAACTCGAATTTTTTTGTACTTTTTACTGTTTAGTTAGTTTGCAGTGTTTGTTTTTGCTTGTCAAATAAACTTTTTCAGTTAAAATCGGACAGGCCATTGCAGTCGGAGTCGAGTAACTCTCTGTAGGCCTGTAAATGAAACGAGACAGATCACGAGTTACCCGAGATCGACTTGATCAATACTCGATAAATACTCGAATTGAACGGACTCGAGATCGAGCTCGAGAGTTCTTAACGAATCGAAACGAGTTACTCGAAAAGCTCGTGAACAACTCGAAAATATAATATATTAATATATGTATTTTTTTAAATAATACAGTAAGATTTTATGTATTTAAGGTTCATATTCGAGTTTGAGGCTTCAATCGAGTTAAATTTAAGATTTTTTTTTATTTCGAGTTGTTCACGAGTTTCAATTCAAGATTTTAAGTTCGAGTCGAGCTTGAAAATTTTAAGCTCGCGAGTTTTCGAGTCGAGTCGAGCTTCATTTTAGAATTTTCGAGTCGCTCAGCAATACTCGAGCTCGACTCGACTCGTTTACACCCCTAACTCTCGGAGTTGGTTAATAAAACTTAAATTAAGATAATTAAATTTATTTACATTGTATAAAGTAATATTTTATACGTAGCCTTTAAATTGATTCATATAATGTTATTTTATATGTTGGTAATATTTTAAATTAACCCAATAGAATGAATATAGAGTTTATCAATATATTTAAAGGCTATAAATATATTGTATTTGTCTTACAAACTAAATTTTAAATAGATATGTTCTTTAATGACTGTATAAATTACTGAACGACTGTTGTATAAAGTACTGAACATAAATTAAGTATAATGAATGAATTACTAAACATATTAACATAATATTATTTATTTCTGATTACAATTTACATAACATTATTGATATTTTAAAATCATATAAAATTGATTTAGTTGCACGAATTAAGTAGTCTTTGTAAAAAATTAATTGTTATTATTCTTTGAGGACCCGAATTCAAGCATTATAGATGTCATGAGTGTGAACTTTTTTTTTTGATAAGTTAGAATTTTATTATCCAAATAGCAATATGCTACAAATACAACCAGGATTCAATACAAATCATTTACAATACAATAATCAGTGGTCATCAATACCCCAATGTATGTAGAGAGTAAGATTCACATTATCTACTCTATTGAATTTCCTACCGTTTAGTTGAAGACATACAATAGATTTAATATCTTTTAGAAATTCATTTATAGGCCTAGATCGGCCTTGGTACAGTCTTCTGTTCCTTTCTTCCCAGAGAAAGTAAACCAATGTATTCAAAGCAATCTTCATTACAATAGATAACAATGATTTTCCTTTCCAATTTGAGCTCGTCATTTCCAAGAATTCTTCCCATAAGTAGTCTGTAAAATGCAAACCAGAAAAAGAGAAAATGTGTTCCCAAAGAGAAACATCAGTAGGGCATAATAAGAAAAGGTGATAGTTTCCACTTCAGAGTTACATAAAAGACAAGAGCATTCATTAGTAAGACCAATTCGGTGGAGACGATCCTTGGTAGGGAGTCTGTCAAGAAGAGTCATCTAGGTTATCATACTATGTTTTGGAATGTGCAGGGGAAACCACCTTCATTGCCATGTAAGTATGCAAATATTTTGTTAAGTGGGACTAAGAAAAGATGCCCTCTTGGAAAGGCAAAAACAATGGTTTTGATAAGGAAAAAGAATATCCCTTTTTGTAACCTGGAATCTGGATTCACGCTAATCCTAGAGAATCTGTACCTTTCACAAGCAGCAGCAGCAGCAATATTTCTGAAGGAGATCCTTTCGAAAGAAATGGTAAGAATACCGTAAGATCAGAAAATGCCTGGTGAATAGGATGGAATATAGCCATGAAAATGGAGAAGGCGGCTGAAAAGGATATGGAATGAAAACAAAACAGAACAAGTTGGCTTTATTTGTTTTGACCTTGAGAGGTAAATGAAGCTATTTTTACTTCTCAAAATCAGAAAAATCCAAGTTCAGAATTTTAACAAAGTCGATCTTGTACTATGCAGTGCATGCATAAACTAATTCAAGTATTCAACCCCTTCTCGTATTATCAAATAAACTGTTTCCCATCTTTCAAACATATTTTTTAAAACACGTTCATGCATGTTACTCGAAATGATTGATTGAACGACATATTTCTGGAAAAAATTATTAACTACAAGAGCCTCATTGGTCGTGTCAGCCATCAGTTGGTGCTCAAGCTCATTTATTAAACCTCTGGCTTCTTTTTTCATTCTTCCGTTTTTTGATGAAAACTTTTTCTAATCGAAATATCTATTTTGATCTTAGGTATTGTCATCAGTCACTTAATAACCAATAAAGCAAAAAGAGAGGGCAGATTATAAGGGCTAAAGATGGGGAAGGAAAGGAAAGCAGAGGAGGCAGATAGCAGCTCTGCAGAAACTAATGAATGGAGATGATGAGTCCCTAACTTCTTTCACTACTCTCTCTGCAATCTTTTTTCTTTTAGGCCCTTATTCAATGCTGCATTTAATGTTTTCCCAATCTTTTTTTACAGGAATGGAAGCATACAATTGATGTACAATTCATCAACTCTTATTTTTTTTAAGTAAGATCCAACTGAGCCAGTTCAATTATTTAAGTAAGATCAAGGTCAGAGTAAAGCATGGTCCATACCTTGGGATGCAAGTCTTTAATTATTATTATTTGTCATGTTGAAGCAGTTTTTCTTTTCCATCAGTACAAACTACAAAGACGTATTCATTTCCATCAAATTTAACGGCACGTGAAGATTGTTACTTTGATCCATTGCTAATGGTGGCGAATCTGTGTTAAAAGAAAAAAAGAGGAAAGAAGAAGAAGAAGAAATGACATCATGAGTTAATTTGGATATTTATCCATTCGAGGTGGAATTGACAAGTCTTGTAACATATCTTGTAACATAGGAAAAAACTGTTTGCATGTTTATCTCTTTTAAATGACAAATGTCGTCACCTTTTCATCAAAATTGACAAGTCTCTGATCTCATCTCCCCACTCAAAAAAGGGGTAAAATTTTACGACAACGAAGATTTATTAATAACACTTTAATAGTATGGAGTTAAGGGTATCTTAATCTGTTGGCTTTTTTACCCCACTAACACTGTTTGTTTTTATTTTTACTTTTCTAACACCGTTCCACCAATATTTCCAAAACTAGCACCATTTCTGCTGAGTTGGCAAAGGCGCGTCCCCGGGGGCGCGCTTTACCCGGTTTTTTCGCTGAGTTGGATGCCACGTGTGAAAGGCGCGTCCCCGGGGACGCGCCTTTGCCAACTCAGCAGACACGTATTTGTTTTATAATAAATAGTTTATTTTTATTATTATTATAAATTAATAATATATTATGTAAAATGTTTCGATTATAATGTAAGAATTATCAAGTTTCGAGTATTTTTGATTTTGATTATCGATCTATTAATTTTATCAGTTAATTATTTAAATGTTATCAATCTAGTCATCTCATATCAATATTTAACGAAAATATTGATGCATAAGTTAATAAATTAGTATAATTACATATTTAATCTTCAAGACTTACATATTTTATAAAATTAGTCTTATTGAAAATTTAATTTAATAAATTTAATCCTCCAATCAGAACATAAAATGTGTCATCGTATACATAAATTTTTTAATAACTTTTAA